TCTGACCTGTGTGTCTCCGATAGCTGTTTGAAAGGTGACATTTCTGTGATAAACAGCAAAGAAACAGCTTGTGCCTGGGAATTGTGCCAAAGTACCCAAGGCAAATGTCAGAGCTGCAGTCTATTCCCACCATGGGGAAGGCGAGTGTGCGCTCTCCTGATCACAGCAGCTGGAAGACGTGCAGCAGGGACAGCACTACCAGTGCCAGATTACTAGCTGTCCACAATGTAAATTCAAATTAAGGGGCCAGCCTGAGGAACACAAGTTGCCCTTCTGCAGTTGGCCCCAGTGCCAGCACGGGCAGGGTGGTACCCGAGTGACGACGACGTGTGCCCTGCGCTGGTGTGCACGCACAGCAACTACAAATGCACCAGCACTGCCCCTGCTGCATGACAGCGGCACAGAGGAGTTCCAGCTGCCACCAAAAACAGGGTTAAACATGACAATGTCCAAAATTAAATTTACATAGGCAACCCTGACATATTCCGATTTCTTGAGGTTATGTTTTTTGTCTTGATAATCTTATTTTGAAGAGGTTTTTGTGTGTCACAGGTGCAGATTTGGGTGTGTGTTATTTTCTATGTTTTTATTAGGGTAAAATTATTAAGATAAGCAACTCTGATCTTAATATCAATAATATATTTTTTTAAAATATAATGTTACTATGCATTAAAAACACAAAATTGCCTTTAACCTTAATACTTATGTGGGGGGGGGGGGGGTGGAAGAAATTACAGCAGTCCTAGAAACTCAGAATACTGCTGTTTAAAAATTGATCTATTTTTTAATGTTTGCAGACTGGTATTATTTCAATTAACAGTTTATTACACTCAGTAATAATCTAATCTGTTTCTGTAAAGCAGATTCTTGTCTTACAGAAACTGACCTTCAGGCAGTAGCCTCAGCTGTCCTATTCTGTACTCAGTAGCCATATCCTGTACACAACCCTCAAACTCACCAGCAATATCCTGTACTCCTATGCAAAAAAAATATTCTACTCTTGATCTACACGTTCTGTCACAGGATAATTAATTTATAATTAATCCATGCTCTGTTTTAATATTCAGACTACTAATGTTTTTACATGGTAAATTTATCCATTAAATTGGTTTTCTTTACAAATATTTGTAAAGATAGACACAGATATTATTTTTTTCAACATCAGGTAACACATACTGACACTTAAAACTCTTACTTATTCCCTCTTTGGAAACAACACAACAGCATTCTACTATGTTTTGCTTGTGATAAGATTGGTTTTGTTTTAAGTATCTGATTCTTCTCCTCCTCTAGGATTCCCTCTGTCAACTTTATGTTTTCTAAATATAAGGCATCAACTCCATGTGCCCTTAATGATGATTGGGGACACCGAGAACACCAGTGGGCAGTTGCCCAATCTTTTAGCCCCACACTCTGATCTGGATTCCTCATGAAGGATTTAAAAATGTTCAGATTATACCTCTGACATATGGTAGACATATGCCCATGGCTTCTATAACCAGGGAGGGTCAGACCTATAAGCAATGAATCCTCTCCCCTGTTTTAAATGCATCCCCTAGAATTCTCTGAGTTGTCTTCTAAAGGTGATTCTTCCCATTAGACAAGAAAAAGCTTTGACTTTGTCCTTAAGTTTAGTTGGCTAAATTTGGTTGAGAAGAACCCCATCCGAAATAAAAATGGATTTACCATTACCAAGGAATCTCTACGAGCCAGGTTTATTATCAGGTGTGGATGTAATGTCTTTCACATGATTAGTTCATTCAGATTGATGTATCTTTCACCAGTAATTTTACATATAAATTACTGTGGAAGATGGAGCAGGAAGATTTTTATAATCCACTTCATTCACAACTTGAGATTTGTAACAAGAAGCTTATAGTGCCTTTATTCTTTACAAGTTTCCTCCTGTGCAGAAGCAAATTAGATTTTCTCACTATAAATTTAAAACTTAGACAGCTCCTTCGGGGTTTTTTTGGTTGTTTTTTATTTTCTCCAGGTAATGTAAATTAATACCATCTCCATTATTGCTGTGCTTTTACAAATAGCCAAATGTGTAGGTTTTTTCCCATTTTATGTATTTACATATATAGAACAGTATATGTAGAGAGCTGAAGTGCTTCAAGTTAGTCTGGATGTTACTCTAAAATAGAGTAACAATTTCTTCATATGACAACTTTTTTTTGTAATATGTAAAATATATGTATGTAAGGTATGTACCATAAAATAGCTCAAAAACCAAATCTGTAATTTGTGTAGCTAATTTAATAGCATTATATTAAGGTGAGAAGCTTCTCCACATGAAAAATACATCTGCAGCTATTTTATAAACAGAAAAAACTATCAGTCCTTAAGACTCCTGGAATATAATATTATTCCAATATTGGATGGGGTTTGGTTGCAGGTAGTGCAGCACCAGTGCTAGAAAACTATTCAATGACAATGGCTTACAACAAATTTTTTGAAATTTCTGTGACCACTCATTAAAAGATCATTGCTTATTAGACAAGTCATAAGACAAGTAAAGATTATTTTGCTGTTCAGATACATTTCTGAAAGGACAGAAATCCTCCCAAGAACTTAAAAAGACATCAAACAAAAACAAAATAGACTTTATGAGAGTCTTCCAGTAAAAGATATTTATCACTCCAGCAAGTTTTTCAAGTGTGACTTTTTAAAAAAATATGCCACAAATATGTGTTAGAAGAGTGCGAATCTGTAAGGGATCAAGTCCAGAATTTATATTAATTGCTTTTTCAGGGAACATTAAAATTTTTGGCTAAAAAATAACCATTTCCTCATAAATATATTTTACTTTAAAAGAGACTATCCCATTCATATCTTGTCTAAGGTTATTTCCTTTCTGCCAAATTACTTTTACCCAAAATAGGAACAATGCTCATATTAGTCTATTATTGAATACTCAAAATGGAATTATAAATATGGTATGCATGTGAATTCATTCTAAGGCTAAATAATATTTCAAAATTATCATCATAAGAAAATAAATTTTAAAAACACCCTGATAATGTAGTTACCAGAAAGAAGTAGAAGATATGTAATAAATCCCTTTAATAAAGGAATTTAAATTATTTACTTTTTTCTTACAAAACAGAATCATACAAAAGCTGTATTTATCTGTTTAATAATATTGAGAAATTGTATATAATTAATAAGATATTTCTAAACTTTGTTATTTACTAACACTACAAAATGAAAATATTTAGTCTGTATTTAGCTAATTTTAGTGAAGAAGAGTACAATGTCCCTTCATGGTTTTTGTCTGTGTGTACCCATGCTGGTTGTATAGAGACTAGAGCAGCTGGTCCCTTACTCCTCACTGAAAACTCCTGAAATAGTAAGAATTAACACTATTGTCATCTGGGACATAAGGGAGATGCAATCCAACAAAAGTGCCAACAAAAAGGATCGTTTCAAAAAATAGCAATCTGGGCTCTTAGAATTCTTCAATAGGAAAGACATTTTTTCCATTAACCATTGTCAACTACAAACTTTACATGTACAGGCCCATTTCTTCACAACAAAAAGAGTATTTCAAGTCATCCAGAGTTAGTGGTGCATGCATGTGCATGCTACACATATAAAAGGAAAGGTAAGTCCTTTCCCAGCCCTTTCAAGTGATTTCTTCCAAGTCCTCTTCAATTAAACTCAGGTTAATCTTTACAACAGAAGAAATGGACAGCTGCAGTACAACGACCACATTGTGGCAGTACAATGCCCTAACCTGTAAGCCATCCTAAAATGTGAGAATAAGAAGCTCAAGGCTGCACCACTGCTATCCCTTACTTCTGAGTAAGAGCTTTCCTGCCTGCTGAAGTCTGAACACAGACAGAGTGAGTGCAGAGGGATCAGTGAGAGCAGTAGAACTGTAGCAGAATTACAGAACAGCATAGGTTAAGATAGGATGGGAAAATTAAATCTACAGTAAATTGAAAAGACCCCCGATACCTCACTGGCTAACAAAATGTTGGTTCAGTATATCTCCGTCTGAAATTTTTCTCTGTAAATTTACATTACCTGAAGTTGTTGAGGATAAACTTCAGGCCATATATACACATATATAAAACTCAATTACTTATTCTGTTATGAAAATATGCAGATCTTTGACACTCTATAAAAGAGCAGACACAGAGTCTCTCAGTAGGAGAAATCTATTACCCAGCAGGACAAACTCATCTAAATAAACACATCTACTTTTAGTATTTTACTATAATTTTGGTACATTTTTGCTGTTTTCTTGTTGTAAAGTGTATTATTTATTCTCTGAAGTCTGTGCTAAAATGTATCAGAGATTTTTAGCAGGGTGTGTGGTGATTTGTATGCCCTAAGGTGGGTAGAGAGCTGTGGAGAACTGTCCTAAAGTAGTCAAACTGTAACAAAGACTCAGTGAACATATCTAGAGAGACTGAGGATGAAGGAGAACTGAAAAGGTAAGAAAACTAAAAACTGGAAAGTATTAAGAGGGACAAGTCATGTTTAGGAGTGGCCTCTAAATCCCAAACCCAGGACACACTTCCACACCTCAGAGACTAGAAAACTGAACACAGCTGCTAGATGAATCCTGGAAATCTATTCACAGAAATACACACAGCAAAATTCTAAATAAACTTCGATATTAGATTGTAAAAAAAAAAAAAAAAAAAAAACCAAAAAAAAAAAAAAAAAACAACAACAACAACAACAAAAAAAAACCAACAAAAAAAAAACCCAAAAAAACAGACAAAGGGTTTATTTTGTCTTCCTTTCACATGTAAGCAAACCTAGTTTTTGCTGTAGACAAACTGCTGCTGGTGGTAGATTGAGCTGTATTGGGTTAATACATTTACAAGGCTCATTCTCTGTTATTTGAGATGCCAATCTGTACTAGAGGGATGAGAAAGTTTTTTTCATTAAAGTAGAATAGTCTCCCAGACTTGAAAGCATTTTCTATTGCTACAGAAGACTATAAAAGAAAGAAAAGCAGGTGAAAAATCATGCCTTACCTGTCCATACTTTGCAGCCAAGTGTAGGGGTGTCCAGTACTGATTATCCACTACATTGAGGTCAGCCCCATGATCTAGTATCAGAGATGCAACATTCTTGTATCCATTAGCACAGGCCACATGCAGCTGCAATATAAAGGTTAATTTTTGCATATGTTAATAGTTTAAAGAACTCATCCATGGTGTAGTACTTCATATCTTTACTACATCACAGTTACAGCAACCACAAAATGTAAATGTGATTACTACAGGCAAGAAAACTGCTGCAAAACCTTTTTGAGCATTTATAAAAAAGATACGCCTGAAAAAAATAATTCTAGCTTTTTGTGAGCTATTAAACAATTTAGTCTATCACTTTTCATATATAGGTTCAAGACAACATGTTTCAAACTCATTCAAAGACTTCATTAACTAAGGTAGAATCAAAGATTTCAACAGAGCTTGGGCTCTCTTTGAGCCTAGAACTTTCTTTTGTATCAGTTCAAATATCCCAGATTTAAGCTGACACTACTCCAAAATGAATTTATTAGCACATAATCAAACTAAGCACATTGACACTGCAGCACAAAATTAGTGACAAAAAATACTTTTTTGATTTTGAACCACAAAGATTTTATTTTCTATACTTGCATTGCTTCCCTAAATACTTAATTATATTAATTTATAATTATTTAAAGAATTTTTGGTTGATTTTCTGTATCTCTAAACTTCATTTAAGAGTCAAAGTCAAACAGAAGGAGGGTGAAAAATGCAGTAACAGAATGAGAGAAACTCAGGTCAACAGTAACCTCAGGAGGTCAAGTAGTGTAACTTCCTGCTAAAACAGGGATAACTCCAAAGGTAGCTGTGTTTGCTCAGGGCTTGTCATTCTGAGTAACAAATACTGTAAGAGTGATAAAGTATGAAAACTGTAATGACAAGTAAAGAAAAACCAAATTTAAAATATCTTTATTAATGGCTGATTTGAGGAGCTAGACATTATCTTTTGCAATGTATTATTATTTAAGGCTCTGTATATGTTTGGCATTTATATCAGCAATCAATTCCACTCTATGTTATTTATAAGATGATATTTTTTAATATAAAAAACCTATGTGTAGTTTTATTTAAAAGAAACATGAAGTGTGTAAAATAAATATAAAAACAATATAATACCAAACAGGTCTTGTGAACAGAGAAAAAGGGAAAGACATAATAAGGCAATAAAATTATTTTCTCTCGTAATAATCTAGTAGAAGAATAAAATGTAATAAGGAACCCTATATCAGGGAAAAAATGTAATTTGCAGGTTTTGATGAAAATTGTTTCTTATATGTGATGAAGGTCTGTTGAAGCATGTATTTCATATCATGAGATCGATCCAGGTTATGGTTTAATGGTCTTTACTTTTTCATCGTCCTCTGCTATGATTTAAATCATTCCCTTCGCTTCTGGGAACAAGGGGGACAAGGCCTGAATTTGGAATTTGGCAAAATATAACTGATCATCCCCAGCCAGAAGAACTTAATACTCACACTGGTCAGTAAGAATAGGGCACAGGAATATTGCAGAAATTGAGAAGTCAGATTATATTTGGTCCCTGTGTCCCCAAACAGCACAGCCCCACTGCATGATTTTTTTCTCCCCGAAGCATTGTTAGCAGAAGATATTCTTTTTCTGGTGATTGAAATGGATGGATAACGGCAATAAAAATGTCTCGCAATAAACCTACTACTACAACTATGGAGTTCCAAAGTCACTGTAAGAATAGGAGACACTAAAATGAGAATTCAGGATATAATTTCCCTTACCTGCTATTTCTGGTTCAGCTGCAACACAGAGCATGCATAAAGTTTTTACTATGAATATGATTGATACAGTGGGAAGAAATACAGTCAACTCATCAAAAATCTTCCCCTGGAAAGGGTGCACAACTCTCCTGGGGGCAGAACTTTGATTCTGCATGCTATGATTTCCAATGTAGAAAACCCTGAAATTTTTCCTGTAATTTGACATAGCTTTATAGTGGAGGGAGGGTGTGTTTTAACAGAAAAAGCTACATTTTCAATTCAGACATCAACTTGACAAGTGCTATTTTCAAGCAGTGAAAAAGCCCCTAGGAAATATTTTATGGATGGAATCTTTCAAAGAAAAATTATTAGAGGAGAATATAGCAGAAAAAATTCTGTGTCTGTTGGTATTGCTTGTGTACAAATGTAGGTGTTATGAGTCAATGATAATGTGTGTATTTATATATTTAAAACAACAATTTCTTGCTTGATTCATATTAACTAACACATGTGTTTATATATATATATATGTATATATATATATATATATCGTGTCAAGGGATAACAAAATTGGTTTGAGACTTAAAACAGATATACTTGTCTTTTTTGTACAGATAAATGTAGAGGAACAAAACATTATTCCAAGAACCCTCTGATGTCCATACAGCTATCACAGACTGGCTGACTCAACACCCATGAATAATGAGACAATTGTTTAAAAAATACTGAATTTTCCACCAGTTTGTCAAACAAAAATTTCACATAATAGAAATCTCAAAGAAAATCAAAATCACCTACTTTGTATCTATATCTTTAAAAAATCAGATCTCAGCATAACAACTGTTCATGCAAAAAGTATCCCTTTTGTCAACCTTCTGCTAAGAAAATAGCAAAAACTCCAAAGTATCTACAATGTTCTTCTCCTAGTATTTTCAGTTCTGTTAAACGTATTTCAGAAATGTATTTCAACTGTTCCAGCTAACTATAGGAATGTTTTTATATAGTAAGTTCATAACTCAGTATAACTCAGACAATTCTGACTAAAATAGCAGTAGAAGTACAATAGCTATGTGATTTAGGAGCTTAGATAAAAGAAGGTAAATTAATGATTTTATTAAATAAATTAAAACTTGTGCTGTTTATTCCCACCCCTTCCCTGCTGTCCTCCTGTTTTTAAATACAGTTAACTGCCTTGGGGTTGTCACCCCAAAAGTCACAGAATTCTGTTTCTGCAGAGAGCCAGTGGCAGGATTCAATCCAAGTACTGAGGCTGATCACTTTTTCAGTTATAGCTTAAACACTCCCCACATATTAAAATATGGAATAATTGAGTATATTAATTCAGTATCAGGCAATGTAATTCAATGCAAATGCAGAAATGATAGCAATAATTATTAGTGTTCTAATTATATTTGTACACTATTTGCAGAAAAAAACCCAAGGGGCTTTTCAAAATGTATTAAATATATTAAGGCTGCTTATTTACCATTTATTGACTGAATGAATGATTGATTGATTGATTGATTGATTGATTGATTGATTGATTGATAATGATGTGGAAGATTTTATATGCAAAGGGAACATCCCACAGACATGCTATGAAAATACACATGAAATTAGAATTATTTGACAGCTGAAGAAATTGAAGTCCTGACAAAACAAATGGATAGAAGATCTAATTGCAGAAAAAAAAGTATAATAAAACCCAGTGACTATAAATAACATGCAAATTTGTCAGCAGAAGTACTTTTCCACGTGTCTGGTGAATGCTTCAATACACTGAATCAAGATTGGATTGCTACAGGAAACAGTGTTTTAGTAGGGCTCAGCTAGAAGATATGAACCAAAACCAGGGATCATTGAGTGAAGCTTCAGCCCCTCTCTCACACAGAATGTCAGAGACCACATGTATCTCCTACAGCTTTAAACTATGGCATTAATATTTTTGCTATCAAATTTTATGTTGCATATTTGTTGGCCAGGAGAAAACAAGTTGTCATTGAGATGTTGCACTGCCCTATTTTAAAATCTATATTATGCATAGAATTTACATACATCTGTTCTCAAAACAACAGGTAGAACCAAAACCTTCCTAAGAAAACTGCCTTGCAAGCATGCTGAACTTGTGGCACCACATGCATATTCCCAGGGTGATGATTACATGTTGCCACTCACCAGGGTAACTCCTTCCTCATTCTTTTGATTCACACTCCCTCCACTTGAGATGAGCTGTCGGACGTCTGTAAGCATTGTCATAGCTCTCTGAATCTTCATTTGGCGTAAGGAATTCAGCTCTACACCTGGAAAAAGAAAAGGATAAATCCTTCTGCTATTTTATTCGTCAATAAAGAGCAGATATGTGATTTTGTGTTCTGGGTTTTTAAAAGCTTAATCAACATGTAAATAGAATTTAGTATATATTTTTGAGTGTTTACTTACCTACAGTTATCAGAAAGTCTATGCCTACCTTTATCAGTGGATACATAGATGATTTAAGTCAATGAGCAATATCCAATAAACCACCCTGATCTCCCACTGACTGCAAGAGCAATTGCAGGTAAAGCAGCTGAAATATCATGAAACCCACTGGGAGTGTGAAATAGTTGTGATTGGGAAAATAATTTAAAAATCTAAGGAAGCCACTCGAGTGTTTGGGACTTACTTAATTTTATTGTTGTTTCATTCTTTCAGCCCTGCAAATACATCACAGTATCCAGACCAGTCCCTCAAATTTGGTGGGTGAACTGCTTGAGAGATTGTGAAGTCAAGCAAATGACATTAAAATTCAACACTTTTTTATGTGTCTGGGTTATTTTTAACTGGGATTAGTTCTCCAGTTGAGCCAAGACCACTTCAGGGTCCCATAAACCAAGAGGGAATGTGGTGTGGCAGTAGGAACAAATAGAAGGGGATGAGAGGAATGAAGGGTATGGGATTGCTTGTGTCAGCATTGCTGCTGAAACAATTGTCAAAGAACAGTATGAAAAAGAAGATAAGCAAGGCAGTTTATAATCAAAATGAAGCATAGTATCCAGTCTGACGAGGTTTAAAATAAGAACCAGGATACAACAAAAGTATAAAGTGATTAAATTAGCAACTAGCTTGATAGGAATAAATAACCTACTGGGTGCTTCATTCTTCTGCTTCTAGTTTCATTATATTATTTAAATGTATATATAGAAAATGAAATTTGAGTATAAAAATTCTATTCTGGCCATGGCATAGCAAAAAGATCATATGAAGAAATGATTTTTTGTTTCTCTTCTGCATTTGTCACTGAGTTGAAAACTGACAAACTATAAATTAATTTAATCAATATATATTTAAAAATGTTTTACCTTCAAAAGTTCTTGAAGTTCTTTACATTACCAAAACAATTTTAGCATATTTAAGGGTAAATCATATTTTGAGTTTCTTATTTTTAATCTGCCCTGTATAAATGGGTACACATTTATACCCTTGTATAAATGGGTGCGGTGCACAATATGTAGTTCATCAAATAATTCAGTTTTTTTCCAACATACTGCTTTATGTTCTGTTGCCTGCAACACTTGTAAGAGTTTCAGCTCTGAAGTGAAATGTTCAGTGTGAGCACTTTCTTCCTATTCTCTTCTTTTTAGACCTTTCACCTAAATGATACTAAAGAACACCAAATGTAAAACACAAATACAAATATGATATGGATAAAATTATGGTTTTTTGTATCTGGATCCACCCTGTAATATTTCATGTGAATGTAATTTAGACAAACAGATACACATACACATACTTGGGTGGAAATTATTTTACTACCTCTTTGTCTGAGAATACCTCAAACACGCAAAACTGAAAACTAAGTTCACAATCCACAGATTAGAAATACAGTTTCTGCTTTTCCCAAGAAGAAAAAATGAAAAATAATAAAAAAACCCTGAGAGTGAAATACAGTTATTATGAGTTTGTTTCCTTCATAATTTTTAACATAAATTACAGTAATGCCTACACATTGAGGGCAGAGGTCAGCTGAGTCCACTCAGCCTTTTCTAGCAATTTATACTGACTTACACCCAACATAGTCAGAGAATTAACATATCAGTACATTGCTATATTAACAGTGAAATATTGATCCTTACTCCCTGTAAATTACCTTTTATAGTTCCTTAGTGTGACTTATTGGGACCACAAAAAACCTAGCCATTGAAAAATTAACTCTGCTCAAATTTAAGAGGAAATAAAGAAAAGCATTCAGTTGCATTAATTGCTGCTAATAATTATTTTCTATCATAAATGTAATGAAAGCCATGAGCTCAGAGAAAACACATTAAACCATGCCACAGAGCAACAAAAGTCACAGTCTGTGTGAATCTGAAACCTATTCAAGACAGGTTTACTGGCTTCAGACTAATTGTGGAATAAATGAATGATACATATTTCACTAAACAAACAGAAGTAAATCAGCTCAGCAAGAGGGGTACCAAAGCAGCATGGTTCCACAGACTTCAATTTTAAATATCCAGAGTAGGTTTGAAAATGCTACAGAAACAATAGAATTTCCCGTTCTCTACCTTTACAAAAAAAAAAAAATATAATGAAAACATGAAAAAATAATCTAAATTTCAGTCTTAGAAGCACAGTTTTGAATTCCAAGAACCCAAGAGCTATTAGGCTTCAAGCAAAGATTTCTCTGGTGGGAGCTGAGAAGTAGATTTATCAAGCATGTAATATATCTTTCTGTGAAGCTCGACCAAGGAGGCCTTGTCAATAAGTGCTTTCCTTTAATCAAGTTCATAATTCTGGGGAGTTCACTCTCCCTCCCCAGAGTGTGATACTTTCCAGGAATTTAGATGAAACAAAAAAAATGCTACTTATACAGTAAATAACTCACTGCCTGAATCAAAGAGTGACCTTCACGTTGCTTTCCAAAGGGGAAATGTGGTTTAGATATTCAGCTGAAGTGGGAC